CAGACGTGTCTCGCCCCTCACGTCTCCACTCTTCTGACCTTCCACTGGCCGCTCGCTGCCATACGTGACAGTTCACCGCCACCAGTGTTAAGGGCTCTGGAGTCAAGGGTGAGTGCCGTGGGTGGCCCCAGGCAGGGCTGTCCAGATCTGGCTCCGGGGTTCCCGCCTTCAGCAATATCTGGGACCATCTCATGCACTTCTGACAGCAGGTTGGGGAAGAAGCAGTCACACCTGTTGCCTTCCTCTCTCTCCATACACCTCCAGCACATAGACATCTCCGTAGTTGTCTGCCCTGGCCTTGCTTCCTGCCTGATTTCTTACACCTTGACTCGTTTCAGAGTTGAGAGCTCTCCTTTTTGACTTTGGTTTCCCTGTGTGAGTGCTTCAGTGTGAAGTAGAAAATCGGTGTGACCTCAGCAAGTCTCGTTTCACCTGAAAGACCTCCCCCACCCCCATTTCATCTGCTGTGGCGTTTTTGTCATCGGAAGCATGGGTGAGAAGGTTGGCAGTCACGTGGGGTGTCACTGCAGTATTGGCCCCGTCTGAGTTGTCAGCTTTCAGAGTCTGTTTACCAAAGACAGGGAGTTGAGGCTCAGGTGTGTTCGATCCTCTTCTTCCTTCTGGTGGGATCTTCGGCGGCCTTTAGGCTACAGGTGGAAACAGTTCTGGTCCATCGGGCTGCCCAGGGAAAGCACTGTTCTTGTATGTCTCTTGTGGTTTTGGAAAAATAAACCTGTACAGCCCACGCTTGTGGTCTCCGTTGTCTTGCGTGGCCGCCCCGCTGGGCTGGGAAGGAAGGCCAGGAGCACAGAAGCCAGCTGGCTTCACCTTGCTTCCAGAGCCCGTGTTCTCGGCCTGGAAGCTCTATTGTGAGGTTAGTGCTGAAGTCCCAACTTGCCACTTTCTGTGGCCTTTAGACGCTGGGTGTGGCGGCATGGACTGGGAGCAGAAATCTCATGAGAGTGGTGAGGGCACTCATCCCAGCTGCACAGTCCCCAAGAGATTCCTGATGGCTGGTGATCGGTGGGGGTGGTGACCTGTTCCAACTTTGAAAAACCTGTCAGTATAAGTGCCTTGTCTCCCTGCACAGCAGGCAGCTGGGAGGGGGGTGCTGGCATCGGAGGATACCCGTGGAGGGGGCCTGAGGGTGACAGGCTCCAGTCCCAGACTTACTGGAGTACTTACGTGCACGATTCTGGGCTTAGCAGAAACTACCGTAGCATAGAAATAACGCGTTGAAAAAACACGCTGGAAGTACTGGTGAATGAAAATACGTTCCCGTTAGCTTGTGGCCTGTGAACTGGTAAAAGCAGGCTCTCCGTGGTGCCTGAGCTTCTGGGGAGCTGTTTGCTGCTGGTGGCGATGCTGCGTGTGTACTGTTGCCATTGTGGTGCGGCCCGTTTGCTGGTCCTCAGGAGCTTTATGTTCGGAGCCAGGGCTGGTTACTTGTCAAGGAGGCAGCAGAATACGGGGTGGTCGCATGCAGGCCTTGCGTCCCACCAGCTCTGTGGCCCGGGCGGGGCAGCCTCTCTGAATGGGGACAGTAATTCTTTCCTCGTTAGCGCCTTGCACATAGAAAGTACCCCAGACTGTTCACTTGCACCTGGTCAGTAGCTGCCCGAACTTGGAGTAGAAGTCTGCATGGCTCCTGCCACCTGCCTGCCCCTTGGCCCAGAGGGGAGGTGGGCCTCGTGCACTGAGGGGTGGTGTGGCCTCTCAACGGACATCTGGCTTTTGACCTCACGCTTTGGTTGTTGGATACACGGTCCTAAGTTTAGAGACTGAGTTCCTTACAGGGGAGACTATTCTAACTCATGATCTGAAGGATGAGGAAACCCTAATAATGTTTCAGAATATGGAAAGAGTATTATTCTACTGGCCTGGTGAGCATTGTGACTGTTCCGTCCATCCTGCTCTTAAGTCAGATCCTACTTGAGAGTGATGTGTGAGTTGGGTGTGTGTGCGCTAATAGAGTAGCCGCTGATGATCGGGGCCTCGGGGGACAGAGCCTTTGCCTGCTTGCCTCCCAAGAGGAGGTGGCACAGGCTGTGTTGTGCTTCTGTGTGGGCACCGACTAAACTGATGGGGGAAGTGAGTTTGTGACCTTGGAGATGAGGACTTGAAACCAAATGTTGACAGTGCCCCATGCCTTCCTCTTGTCTCCGTGCATCAATTTGAAAGCCTGTACTAACTACCAAAAGATGTAGATGAAAGCCCTACAAGGAAAGTAAGAGTGAAAAAGAGACAGCTGTCTGTGCAGTGGCCCTTAACCTTTCTGGGAACACAGACTCCTTGGAGAGCCCGACAGGTTCTCCAGACCTTCTCCCCCAGCAAGGCACATCCATGTGAAGTTGGGCAAACTATTTCAGAAGGCTCATCGACTCCTGAGGCAGCTGGGACCCTGCATTTAAGAGCCCCCTGACTGGTAATAAACCTCATAGAATCTGGGTTTATCCAAGAGATCCAGGAGGGGAGTGAGGACTTTGTAAAGGATTCTTAGGTTTCTGGTAAACTGGGCTTCCGTAGTGCATGATCATTTTATTTTTTTTTTAAATTTAAGTTCAGTTAATGTATATTAGTTTCAGAGGTAAATTTCAGTGATTCATCAGTGGCACGGAACACCAGTGCTCATTCCATCACGTGCCGTCCTTAATGCTCATCGCCCAGCTACGCCATCCCCCTACCCCTTCCCCTCCAGCAGCCCTGTTTGTTGAGTTCAATGTCTCTCAAGCTTTGTCTGATTTCATCTAATTTTATTTTTCCCTCTCTTTCCCTATGCTCCTCCGTTTTGCTTCTTAAATTCCACATGAGTGGGATAATTGTCTTTCTCGGATTTATTTCGCTTAGCTTAATAATACCCTTTTCATCATTACTTTAAAATTGCACTTAGGTGCATGTTCTCCCCTTCCCCTCCCTGAGGACAGGGAGGTTTGCCTGTTTTGTCACCGAATAAATTTGAGTTCACCATTCCTGTGGGGGCATTCCTGTTTGGTGATGTCCTGTCCACTGCTGACAGCAGTGGTCCTGGGGCCCCGTGTAAAGAAGCCAGGGATCAAGCGACGCTTCTCTGTCCTTGAGCGATGTCCCCTCCTCGTCTTCGATCCTGGAGCTTCTGTTCCGTCCTGTCCCGTCCTGTCCGGTGGAGCTGCCAGTCCTTCATCTGGAGGTAAGTGCTTTCCTGGCGCTGGTGAGCTCTGCGGGCAGTGGGGCTGGGCTTCCGATACGCTGGCCCAGGTCCTGGGGCTTTCATGGTCCCTTGGTGATTCTCAGCGGGGATAGTTTGGGTTAGGACAGTCGTTTCATGATATCACTGAGGTATTGCTGCCCTTGGTTCCTACGTTGTGTGAAGAGAGGCACATAGCTGCTGTCTTTGGCTTTACGGTCCCTGCTAATCTTAAGAACCTTGGCCCCACACTGTGTTCCCTGGCTGTGGTGGCTTCAAGCCACCGCCCCTTTCTTTTTATCTATTTCATATATTAGGGTATTGTATAGAGTTTCAGTTTTAAAGATTCTGCCACTACAAAAAACAAACATCATAAAAACTGCAATGTAATGTGTGTCTGTGTATCTGAACACACAATTTTAAAACTAACCTTTATGCTTGTAACTTGCAGAATTGTTTTTTCAAACCCATGACAGGTTTGCCCCCAGCCATATTCCTGGAAGTTTTCCTCAAGGTGTAGCCTAAATGATATATGCAGGATGAAAAAAAGTCTGTGCACAAGTAAACAGCCCTTTTCCCTTAAGGAGGGCTCAGGAGTTTGGGGTCAAACGGAACGTCAAGTGTTGCAGGTTAACGGCCCTCAGTCTTCCAAGCCAGCACTGAGGGGCCGGTGGGCGTGAGCCTGGTTTTAGTGGGGCCGGAGGAGCAGGGGGGCGCACACCTGCAGGGGGACTGTTCCCCCGGGAATGGGCCACCTGCTCCTGCCACCCAACGAGTGTTAGTAAAGTTTCGTTTCCTTCTCTTTCCAGTGGGCTAGGTGTGAAAAGAAATGACAGGCTTACTCGTTTGAGGAAAGTTTACCGAGGGCCTTCCATGGTGGGCTAGCGTGCCAGCTGGGAAAGGTGGTCTACTTACTAGCAGAAGGGCGGGTCGGTGCTGCCCTCCACAGGTGTGCAAGGAAGAGGGCTGGCTGGCGGGGCTGTTGAGAGGACACGGTGGGAATGAAGCATCCGGTTTGTTATTCAGTGTTTATTAAGTAGATTCAGTCTTATATATGATATACAGATTCAAAAGAAAAAGGATTCCACATACTTATGAAATCAGTGCATTTAGCAAGTAATACCATGGAGATAACAGCTCGATTAACAGCTCATTGGTCTTTTGTTAAGTGAGGGAGAGGGACTTGGCCTGTGCTAGTCATTCCACAAACAAACAGAATTTAGTTGCATCACATAGAGAAGACACATTCTAAGAATTAAAATATTAAGCCACATTTACTGGAAAAAACTCACTATATAGAACACAATTTTTATAGAGCATCGAGGAGGAAGTCATCACCTGCTTAGAAGAGCCACGTTAAGTTGCATAGGTGCATATCTGTAAAAATATAATTTAGAGGTGTAGCCATTGATTAAGTAATAAAGAGTCACCTTTAAAAGTTGGTGCCATCCGCGGTTTGTCTTAAGTGCCATATGCTTACCGTCTGGAGCCCCCTGCCCCTCCTCAGAGGTCATGCCTCCAGAGCAAGCTGCCTCCAGGGGGGATCCCTGAAGGAATGCTTGTACCATCTGCACTGGGAAGTCCTAAAACCTCATCTCCGATAAGAAATTCACGCTCTCCCAAAACATATCTAATTTATACTGGAGGATTGACAGCCTCTTGGGTTGTCCCTAAATCCTAGGTGGCTTGACCCTGAAGGTCCCACGAGTCACCTTGAACCACCCCCCTACCCCCCCCCCCCCCCACCCCCGCCAAGCTGCCTGGAGACCTCCACTGCCCCACAGCTCTGCCGTGAAGTCCTGCTTGCATGCTCCTGGAGTCCGCGCAGGTCCCCCCGCCCCCCGCAGCTGCTGGGACATCTTGGCGCTGCCCCCTGCTCCTAACGGACCACACCACAGAGGCGTATGGGCCATCTGCCGCACGGAGATTTTTCTGAGCTTAGAAAAAGTATTTTTCAGCAAATCTTGAGTTCTATGTGGTGTAGGGTTTTCGTTTTTGTTTTTAGGTGGAAACACAGGTAAAAAGAGAGGTTTTTGCTTTGTGGCTTTGCTAAGCAGATGAGCTTAGTGAGGTGCACCTTCCTCCTCAAGAGCGAGTCTTGCAGAACACACAGGGACTGGGGCGTCTGTACATGTAAACAGTACACTTTCACTGAGTCCAAAATTAGGAGCAAAAATACAAAGGTTCACATTGGTCTTAGGTAGATACAGGCGAAAAAGGATTGAGCTGTTTAGCTCAGAAACAACAAAAACAAAGTTTCTAAAGCACCACTAAATTATATAAAAATCAGACCATGGACGGATTGAAACTGGTATTCTGGTGAAATACTTTACTATCTTGTAAAAAGTTTTACAAAAAATTACAAATTAAAAGTATCAACCCTCTGAGTTCAAAGCAGCATTTTTGAAAATGAACTGGTAGTTAATCCTGTAACCACCCCTGGAGTCGTTAAGTGGCCCTTAGGAATAGGGATGGCCGGGTTCCACCTGTTTGAAATCCTTGAAAACCCTGCTAGCCCCCTCCTGTCCCCCTCCCCCCCCAACACGGTCCTGGGGTACAGACTGTACTGGAGGTGACGGTAAAATGAATTTCAGATGGGTCACACCATTACTGGTCTATAGATGTCTACCATGAAGACCAAATTTCCATTTCTCCTGATTCTACCCTTCTGCTGGATTTAGCCCCCTGCAAAGACTCTGAATTGGTGTCTTCTACTCTTGAGTTACCTTTTAGCTTAGGATCCCCAATGGAGAATTTGTGCCCTGAGGCCCTCTGTGAGAATTTTAAATGGCTGTGGGGCAGGGCGTTGGAAGCTCCCTTTGGGAGAAGGCAGTCCCTGGGGTGAGGGTGAGGACAGGGATGGGGGTGGGACAGCAGTGAGCTAGGTCCTGCAGACCCAGCTCTTCGGTGTTCTCCAAGTCAGGAGCAGGGGGGAGGGGGTGAAGCTGCATCTTTGAAAACTAAAGCAAAACAGAACAAGTTCCCTGACTGAAAGAGCTAACAGAGTGCTGTTTCCACACAGTGACTTGCTCCTGATTCTGCCGTCACAGGGAAGGAGCCCACAGAGGTGGTGAGGGCACTGTGGCAGAATCCATTGTCCCAGAGGGGCCGTGGGGAGCCCCGGCCCGCAAGGCCTTCCTCTCACACCAGTGCGCCTGCGCAGGCTGAGGTGGCCTGCTCAGGAAAGCGGGACTCTCACACCGACATTTAGGATGATCTTTAGATCTAATCCCTTCTGTGGGGTGGTGGCAGCAGCCCCTCCCAGCCCTTCTCGCTCCAGTCTGTGAGGAAAGCACTGCATCCTTGCCTGGCTAGGGAACCTGTCTCCGGGAAGGGGAATGACAAGTTAAGCAGTTGGTATCAAGAATTCTAAGGTGGCGATTGTCTCTGCCAGTTTTTAACATTAAGATTCTCACAAATTGCCTGGGGTAACATTTTGCAAAAGACCTACTGATTACTTTGTAGTATTGTTCACACACACAAATATTTACACAAATTGAAACGTCCGGGAGTAGCAGTGAGCAGGTGGGGCTGGATGTGTGGATGGTTGGGGTGGGGGACAGGCCTTGGGCACTGGAGCTTGTGCTGTGCTAAGGGGGGAGACTCGGGTGTCCTGGTCCTGACCAGAGAGGCCCGGAGATTGGTCAGATGGAAGGCAGAGGTGGTGTGGCTGGGTGGGGCGTTGGAGGCCACTTGAGAAAGACTGTCCCCAACTACTGGGGGCTGGAAGCAAGCACGGGGAGGGGCGCCCTACCTTTCAGTGGCTCCAAGGCCCACAGCTCGGGCATGGGTCTGAGGCGGGGTGGGGCATCCATGCAGGAGCCCCTCCCTGGCCCTCCTGAGGGTGGTCTGCCATAGTGCTGGGGAGCAGGTAGCTGCAGGAAGCTGGTTTGGGAAGGGGAACCTGCTCTGGGTGTCTAGTGGCTGTGGCCGTCCCAGGGTCCACGCAGCCCTGGCTCCCCTGGGGCCTCTTTGCTCTGAGGGAGGAAAGGCAACAGAGGGCTTCTGCCAGCTCTGGGCAGGGGCGGGCAGCAGAGAGCTGCTGTCATGGCTACGGAGTGTTGCATGGAGAGGCCCCGGGGGCCTTCTGAGGTCCGGGTGAGTCCCTGGTTTTAGCAGCACTGGTAGGTATTGCACTGAGCAAGAGGAAGTGCCTACTGGGGAGGAAGGAAACCAGGCCAGCCTTTTCTTTCTGCCCTTTTTCACACTCCAGGGATTGTGGGTTTCTTCCAGGACTGGCCCCTCCAGAAGGGCAGGTCCTCGGAGAACCCAAGTGGCTTCTCTACTTCTATCGATGGTCCCTTTACTCCAGCTCCGGGGGCAGAGGACAGGAGCTGCAGTCCGACCAGGAGCTTACAGCTGCTTTTCCTGTTCGGTAGCTGCATGACCGCTGGGGGCCCACCCTGAAGAAACAGGCCCTTTCTGGCAGGTGTCCGAGGGCCCTGGGCCTGTGTGGAGAAGTGTTCAGACCTGGCTCCCTGGGGGCAGGTGAGGGCAAGGGCCCTGCGGAGCAGCCGCTCCCCCCAGCACTCTGTCCCACTGAGCAGCCGGGAGGGTTGGGGCCAAGGGGCTGCAAGCTACTGCTTGTGAGGGTCGCGGCCCTCTCTGGCTCCAGGTCCTGGCCACCCCTCTGGACTTACCTCCCAGGCAGACACCTTGTGTGGGGGGGTCGGGAGATAGATAGCCATTCAGAACGGGCTCAGGGCACATCCTGGAAAAAGCCCACGCTGGAGTGTGAGGTAGAACACAGGAGACCATGTGACTGGGGCGTCTGTGGAATGGGGGTAGGGGAGCCATTTTTGTCTTTGCTTCGCATTGGGCGTGGGTGAGGTCCTCCGGCTTGGCGGCGCTGGGCGCTCAGGAGGACAGCCAGCCCGGCGCCCACCTCCCCGCTCCCCGCCCTGCTGGCCCCCAGCCCACGCCAGTGTAGTGATACGGAATGTTAGGGCACAGGGATACATCCTTCTGATCAGACAGACATAGACTGGCAATCTGTACAAACACAAAAGAATCCATTTTCAGAAAAATAAATTACTAAGGGGAGAGGAAGAAAGGGTCCACTTTGTTTTTCTCAATAAATATGCAATTCTGCTCACCTAAGACTTGAAAGGTAATTATCTGGGGGTGGGATTCTAACATCAGGGTCCACGAAGATGATTCTAAATAGAGCTGCGTCCCCAGCGCCTTGTCAGGGGAGCCCCAGCCCTTCCAAAGCTGCCCCATTGGCCTCTTCCAAGCAGGTCAGAGCACCCGTGTGGTGAGATTCCAAAAAAAAGTGTCCTTGTGCCCAAAGTCGCAGGTGCTTGGTGTGTGGCTAGAAACAGCTCTTTTGGATCCCACCTCTTTCAAAAAAACAAAATGTACCAAGTGGTGAGGCAAGAAGCCGGGCCGGGACAGCCTCCTTCCCCAGGGTAGTGCACTCCAGGTGCCGCGGGGTCAGTTCTGCTGTAAAATGAGGTTTTCCAGTTCGTCCGCGGAGCGCAGCAGGAAGGCGGCAGACTCTCGGTAGCCGGCGATGAGCTGCCGCACGGCGCTGATCTCTGTGGGGCTGAGCTGGGCAGCGGGCATGGTCCTGCTGGTGCTGTTGCTGGAGGGCGTGGGCGTGGGTGTGCTGGAGGCCGTGGTGGCCCCGCCTTTCATGCTGAGGTCGGTGGGCCCTGTGGAGAGGAGAGCGTAGGTGAGGAGGGGAGCTGAACCCTCACGTGGCATCCGGGAGGGGACATCCCTCTGTGCGTCGTCTTGGGGGCCTGCTGTGGCTCAGGCGCTCCGACCTCAACAGCTGAACCCTAGTGCCTAGAATGGGGCCCGGTACCAGCAGATGAGACGTGGGGTTCTATGCGAACCCTCAGGGCAGTCCGGCGGGGAAGGGGACCTTATGGTCGATAGGTGGAAGTTGGGGAGGCCTGGTGGTGGGAGGTTTGCCCTGGGTCACATGAGCAGGGTGGCCCGTGGCCAGGGGCTCTGACTCTAGCTCCCTGGCCCTGCTCACACCTGTGCTCACAACTGTGGAGCTTTCTGAGGACCATAGGTGGACGGTGCTCCCCAGACTCCCCTCCCTGGGGTAAAGCAGAGCTTCCCCTGGAAGCTGGCGGCAGCTGAGGGAAAGTGTGGGCCCGACCCCGTGAGAAGGGCCCTTGGTGGTGGCCTGTGCCGTGCAGATGGCCACGTGCTGTTGGTCCCCTGACGGGGTGGCTTTCCAGGGAGAGGGTATTCAGGACACCTGCAGGTAAGCAGGCACCTCACCCCAAGAGGCACGAGTATGTGGAAAGCCCTAGAGGCCAGAGTGGAACCACAGAAGACTGGGAAAAGAAATAGCAGTGTGTGTGCTCAGAAAAGGGAGGGGAGAAGAAATGCCAGGTGCCCTGCTTGGCTGGGGAGACGTTGGGGCTAGGCCAGCCGGAGAGTGACCACATTCTGCAGGGGAGTGGCTGGGAGTGCCAAGTTGGAGGAAGGAGCCGTGGGTGCTAAGCCTGTTTCTGGTGAACCGTGGCACCCTGAAGTCTCCCCCACCCTCCTCTGAGGGGGTCTCCGTGGCTGAGTGAGGGGAAGGCGGGTGCGGCGGGGCAGGTGTGTGAGGGCGGGGGTGGTCAGGACAGGACCCAGGGGCGCGATCTGGAGAAGTCCCCTCTGGCCTCTGAACGATGGCGGCAGCAAAGGAGCCTGAAGTCTTCTGAAACCTCCTAGGGGTGTGTGTGGCAGGGGACCAGCAGGTCGTCTCCCCTTTGCCCCTCCCAGGCCGCTCCATAGGTGCATGGCAGGCTTTGGAATCAGGCGCCTGAACTCAAGGCGTGCTCTGGCGCGCTGCAGGCACCTGTTCGACATCCCTGAGTCTCGGAACTCGAGGCTGCTGGGGGCTGAGCCAGGCCCGTGAAACTCAGCACGGCTGGGAGCTGCCAGCCCACAGGGAACAGGCTTCCAGACAGGTTTTAGGGCTTTCTGAATGGGTGCCCAGGAGTCACGGAGGCTCCTAGAATTTGAAACACATTCTTTAGAGGTGTTGAGCCAGGACACAGCCAAAGAAGAGCGTGTCTGGGGGTGTGGGAGCTGGAGCATCCTCGGGGAGACCGTCTGCCCACGCCTGCCCATGCTCCCTAGCCGTCTCCCCACGACCCCTTGGGTTCGGGCAGCCAGTGCCACTCACTCTTGCATCTACAGGGGCACTACGGGGGCCCTCTACGCTGCTACAGAGAGAGATGGACGAGCTCTGGTCACTGGAGGCCGCTAGGCTGGAAGCCTCACGCTGGGAGAGACTGTGGAAAAAACTGTCACTGAAAAGAGCTGGTGCAGCCCCTCGTGGGGAAGGAGGCTGGAGTCTGCGGTGGGCCCATCCGTCACCGCGGCTGTTTCCTCTCTGGCCAGAGCACATGGACATCAAGGAGGAAGCCTTGGAAATGGCTTGCTAAGTAAGGGATGTCCCTGGAATTGAGAGTCAGGGGAGCAGCTAAGTCTGTTAAAATGAAACGCAAGTGGAAGGAGCAGGGCTGTGACTTGGCTGGAAACAGCAGCCAAGCAGGTGGTAAATTCCTCTTTGGGTGGCCAAAGGGCCACAGGGACAGGCTGGGAGCAGGGGTGCCTCTGCCGATTGTTGGATGCTGCAGGGCTGGCCCCGGGGTGGGTCCTCCAGACAGCAGAGGAGGGCGGAAGCCACCTGCCATAGATGGTGTGAACCGATTCTGGGGTTCCTCTCTCCCTGATCCCCAACCTTGTTCTCTTCCGCCCTGTGCTCAGAGCTGTCCTTCTGTCTCTCTTGGACGGTAGCTAGGGCCTGGGCAGGAGACTGTCCCTATCTCCCGCAGTCCATCTGCTCTGGAGCCATCCTCCTGCAGGCTCGGGTGCTGACATTCAGGGGTGGTTGCTGGAGGAGCGGGAGGGGGCGCAAGTCGCCCAGCACCCCCAGGAAAGGCAGGCCAAACGGATTCTGTGGAAGCTCAGTTGGATCTCCCACTGACACCCGCCGATGAGCACAGTGAGGTGCTCTGGGCCACCAGCAGGGCGGCCCTGCCAAGGCGCCAGTGTGACTGAAGGATGGCTGATGGGGCCGATGGCCGCTGGGGAGGGCAGCAGGACTGGGACAGCCACCGGCGGTCTTCCTCCAGCTGCTGGGCTCTGAGCCAGTGCTCCCAGGACAGGGGCTGCCCCAGGTGAATGAGCAGATCCCCGCCTCAGTGACCTCCCCACCCACCTCTAAGGAAGCAGGGTGCTTACAGAAGGGAGCAGAGGCCTTGGGAAGCACAGGGCAGAGCCAGCTGCCTCCCTAAAAAGGGAGAGCTGGGCGCTGCTGGAGCCTCTCTGGCAGGTGTGAATAGGGCCCAGAGGGCAGCAGGCCCACTACCTTCCCTGGCGGCTGCAGCCCTGAGACAGGCCGTGCTGTGGGGCACCGGGTGGGGCGGGGGGCGGTGGTCCCCATCGCTTGTGGCCTGGGAAGTGTGGAGCCTCGGGCTCGCCATGTCTGTCTAGGGGTCCTATCCCCCCTGCTCTGGGACCTGTCTTCGGATACTCGTAACAGGGTCCCCTTTCGGCAGGGCTGTCAGATGGCTCTTACTCCTGGAAGAAAAGCAGCCCTTCTGGGACAGCCGCCCCCCGCCTTGCCGCGGCCGGCCGCTCTGGCTTCAGCTTCGGGGATTAAGGCCAGGCAGCCTCTTAGTTTAGGTGAAGACGCATTAGGAAGGGATGAGAAGTTAAGCCCAGGCAGGAGCCTTCCAGGGACCTGCACACACTTCCTGCTGGTAGGGGGCAAGGCGAGCAGAGGGGGCTTTGGGCTTTCCGCCGCGGGTAGGGGGCCAGCCCCTCCCTTGATGAGCGGGAATAGTGAGGGTCTCCTGCAGCCAATGACAAGGGCTTAAAAGGAACTCTCAGGCACGTTCAGCTAAGACCTCAAACCAATGTTTCCTGGCCTGTGGGTGGCACCTTCTTCCAACCTACTCAGGCAACTTGGGGTCACCCTCAGCTCTCCTCCTCACCCCCCTTCGTCTTTGAATGACCCTCCATGCATATAACTTCTGCCTCCTGTCCTTCCAATTCAGTCTCATCACGGGGGCAGGCAGAGTGCAGTTCGCAGCCCTCCTTTGCTTAAAACCTATCAGCGGCTCCCATCACACACACAACAGAATCCAAGCGCTCAGCCCAAGAGGCCCTGAGTTCATCCCCACCCACCCCAAACTCCAGAGGGCCCCACTCTAGTTCCCACTCAGGGCAGCACCTGACACCATAGGGAGGTCTGCGTCCCATCTGCATCAGTGGCACCTGGGAAGTACCATGGGGAGCACCCAGGGTATCACCAGCTTCAGGGGGTGGAGCAGGGAGAACGGATGGTTTACTGAGGCCCCAGGGGACCCAGAGAGGGCTCCATAGTGCAGGGGCATGAGCTGAGGCCTGGAGAAGGCAGTGACCTGCCCAGAGCCACTCGGGTGCGCCCCCTCTCCCCCCGCCCCCCGCCAGGCCAGAGCAGAACTGGGCTGCACCTGGGCTAGATGCTGGCTCTGCCACCAATTCCCAGTGACCATCTCACTAAGCCTTGGTCATCGTGGGTAAAGCAGGGGTGTGGAGAGGATGCAGCTCAGGTAGAGCAGGGCTTTGGCTGCAACTTGGAGCTCATGGTGGCCCTCGAGGAGCTGAGGCAGGGAGAAGCCCGGCAGGGCATCCACTCCAGCACTGGAGCTAGCCGCCTCGGAGACAAGAAAGGACAGGCAGGCTTTGTGTTTTAACCGCTTGAAGTTTTCCTCACCTTCCCATCTGGCCTCCGCTTCCCTGCCTGCCCGGCCCCCTTCCCTGAGGCTGCGCTGCGTACCCAGATAGCCTGGGTCCCCCAACACTCACCGTTACTGTGATTTCCTGTTTGGAGGGAGGCAGGGGGCTGCAGGTTGCTGCCCAACGCCCCGTACCCGCGGTAACTGTAGTTGAGGCCGCCGTTGACGTACACGGGGTCCTGGGAGTAGGAGGAGGCTGGCAGTGAGTAGGTGGAGTGGGTGATGGCTGCGGAGTCCCGGGAGTGCTGCTTGTCCAGGGCGATGGGCTCGTCCTGCAGAGGGGGCAGAAAGCGCGAACGAATCAGAGGGGTGGCAGGTCCTGACCCTTGTCGCTGGGACCCTGCGCCATGCCCTGTGGAACTCTGCTCCTGTGTCTGGGGGCCAGAGTTGATCTGTTCCCACCCAGCTAAAAACACCCAGAGGCCACACTTCGGAGGAGTGCAGGGCCTGTGTGCCGGGCGCATTCACCCCACCATAGTTCTGTCTGTCCGCCGTACCCCCCCCACTCCCCTGCACCCGGCTGGCCTGGCTGGGGGTCTGCGGCATGACTGCCAGCCGCGCTCTCACCCTGCTGGAGAGCAGGTACCTGGGAGGACTGGTAGATCTCCAGGCGCATCCTTTTGGCTGCTTTTCTCGTCTCGCTCTCACAGGCAGCTGCCAGGATGTTTTCTGCCATGGCCGAGGTCAGGTGGGGAGGCGTGGGTCTAGTCTGCAGGCAGAACAGGGACAGAGCCTGCATCAGGGCTGACCCAGACCCCTGCCCTAACGGGTGCTGACACAGGGCTGGGCTCTGGGCCCGTGATCTCTGCAGCGGAGTAGCTGTTCTGGGCCCTCAGCTCCCTCTGTGTGTCTGGGATCGCTGGATGGAGGGCAGGTGTCTGGCCCGCGGGCCACCCAGGGGCTCTGGGGCTTGGCTGGAGGCCCGCGGGAAGGGAGATGGGGCTCACCATCTCCATGCCATTCTTCTTCATGCGCCGGCAGGACTTGAGGTACGTGCGGATGCGCTTGCGGGCCCGCTCCTGGAACTCGGGAAACTGCCGGCTACAGGACTCGATGATGGCCTGGATCTTCTCCTTGGGCTGCTTGGAGATGGGCACCATGCGGTCCAAGTTCTCATCCACAAAGAGCCGCACGAACATCTGTGGGAGACATGGGCTGTGGGAAGGGCTGGCCGTGGCTGTGGCCCCCACCCTGCCCATCCCTTGCCGGTGCTCACATTGAAGGCCTTGAGGCGCTCGGGGTCCATGCCCTCGGAGTCGTTCATCTTGTCATTGTCCTCGTGGTCATCGTGGTCATCATCGTCATCATCTGCTGTGGGGGCCCGGCCCACCGTCAGGTCCTCAGGGCAGCCACTGACCTCAGTCTTGATGGAATCATAGCTCCCGGAGCTGTAAGGGGGCGACTGAGAGAGGCAAGGGCCAGAGGGTCAGACTGGGCCCACTTTCGGTCTGACAGCCACGGTGAGCTAAGGGACTGGAATGGTGAGCACACCCGGCTGCCGCACAAGCCACAGTTTCGAGGGCCTGTGTCGCCTCCCCTCCCCGGGTGGCCAGAGGCAGGACTGCCTGCCCACAGCAGCGCCAGCAGAGGCCAGGGGCCCCGGAGGCGCCAAGCAGGGGTGTCAGCGCTGTACTGGGCACACCAGGACCCGCCACATCGTGCAGGGAACAGGCAGATGCGGGAAGGGGTCCCACCACCAGCCAGCCTCTTCTGGTTCTGCCAAGACTGGTTCTGGCTTTAGGGTTTTCCTCCCTGATCCCAAGGGGCGGCAACCCTGAGCTGGCAACCGAGCTGTCACGCAGGCGGCAAGCATGCTGTCAGGGAGGAGGAGCAGATGGGCTGGGAGAAGGAACCAGCCAAGGCGACAGGTCCATTAGGCAGAGTACATTCCCGAAGCTCCCGGGCTGGGGTTCTCCTGTCTGTTGCCGCCCCCCAGGGAGCCCTGTGAGCCCCCACACAGAGTGTGTGTGTAGGAAGGGGGAGTGGGAACCAGGCCTGGCCCACCAGCAAAGGAACCCCGCTGTCTTTTCCCACCGCGGGAACTCCTCCCAGAGTAAGCCTCTTCTGGGGAACACCGCTCTTGCTGTAGAGCAAACAGATGAAGATGGACATGGACAGGCGCCCAGTCCCACAGTAGCTGCCACCATCAGGCTTCCTGTGACCGTCCACAAGGGGTCAGCCTTCCCCGAGCCCCGGGCCTGGTGCTCGGCTCTTGATCCACACACCAGGTCCTCTGGCCTCTTGCTGGGTCACGCCAGACTTGCTGTGGAGAGTCAGAAGACCTCCCGGGCCTTGGGCAAGTCACATTCCCAAGCCATTCCCTAGCCGAGTCCTCTGCTGGGGCCAGAGGAGACAGAACCACAAGACACACGCTGCGGGTGGCACCGATGCCCCATCTCACTTCGTGGCCCACACGTGGCCTGAGGTCATGGCAGCAGACTCCCCCTCTGCAGCCCTCTGCTCAGTGCAGGGAGCGGCTAGGTCTGCCCCTGCTCCGTGGCCTGAGCTCGGACACACAGTGACAACTGAACACTCCCTCATCTGTAAAGAATTCTCCCGTGAGACAGGCCATCAGAGGCAAGGCCTGGCCCCCACCTCATGCTCTCTGCAGCAGCAGGTGGCCCAGGGAAGGGGAGGAAACTGTGTAGGGGTACATGGCTGGCGCCCAGGGGTGCAGGGCTCCCAAAGTCACCTCTGGCCCTGCAGCCCTGGCAGGAGAAAACTCTGCTGAGAGAGTTCCCATGCCCAGTGCTTCAGCGTACCACTGCAGGAAACCTTAGTGGCCCAGAGGCAACTTGCAGAAGTGGTGGGGGTTGCCGAAGGCAGGGGGCAGTGCTTGGTGGTGGGAGCACCGGCATTGGCCACCCTTCCCCCATGTGCACCCATCAGCCTGATCTACCTAATTTCAAACAGCCACATCCCTGGGGCTTCAGAGGCCTTGTTCTTTCTCTGCACCATCTGCAAAATGGGGACAAACATGCAAAGTAGCCACAAAAGGCAGGGCCTCCGTGCTCAGTGCGGCCCCATGCTGCTGAATTTGCAGCTGACTTTGTTCTGGGATAGAGGGGACAGGCCACACGTCACCCACCACCTCCACTAAGGCTTCTTCACAGCTGGTGACATAGGCTTAAAGAAGGTCACACCCTGTGTGATCTCATTCCAGAGCCTCCACAGAACACAGGGCATAGCAGCCTCAACATCACAGCTCTGGACACAGATGATTTCATGTCAGCCTCCACCACTCCGCGCTGCACAGGAAGGAGGAGGCTCATGGTTCCGGGGGGGCCCACAGCCCCACACACCTCAGGGGTGGTCTTCACCCCATACTTGACACGGCTCCGCAGTCCATCGGTGCCGCAGCCGTCGGAGGGGTAGGAGGGCGTGCCGAGCGCCGTGCCCGGCGGGAGCTTGTCGCACAGGTTGATGGGCTGATCTTCGGAGGTGGCGGTGAAGTCCATGGGGGCCACAGCGCCGTTGCCATTCATCTCTGGGAAGGCGGGGTCGCCCTGCGTGCTGCTGGAGGTGGATGGGTTCAGGGTGGAGGAGCCATTGCCACTGCCACTCTCAGAGGAGGAGTCATCTGGAACGAGAGGCCTGGGTGTAAGGCTCCAGCGCAGCATCTACTGTCCCCTAAAGCCCCCGGGGGCGTCATGGCCATGGCAGCCACAGAGAATACTGGCCCCATCTTGTCTTCACCAGCATCTCTGGGTAGGAGGTGAGCACAGCGGTCCCCTTTAGGGGCTCTGAGAAGCTAGCCCTGCCCCCGCCTGATGCAGGGTCCCCCTGCCCAGGCTGTCAGGGCAGAAGCAGCCATGGGGGGTGCAGGCCATGCTGGTCTCCCACACTCCACCCCCACGCCACTACACCCAGGCTCCAGGGAGGCCCAGCTTCCAGGGCCTGGCCATGAGTGGCTACAGCCTCAAGTCCGACAAGCCTGCTGTTGCCAGAGGTCCTTGGACACCCCAGAGGTCGCTTGGGGCCGGACCAGCACCACCGCTTCCTTTAACTCACCACTGCCTTGCCCCTTCACACCCTCTCCCCCAAGCAGGCTTGCTAAGGAGAAAGGGTTAATGCCCCACTGTGCCCCCCACCCCTCAGTTACCCACTCCATGCTGCAAACAGGCCCAGTGGTCCTGCCGCCTACCCACACGCAGCCTGTCCCCAGCAGCCGCCTCTGGTGCCAGGCCATGTGGCCTTGGACAGCCCTAGCCAAGGCTGCAGTGTCTGGGGTCTGCATTCCCTGCATCTCAATGGGCCACCACTGCCTTCCAGAGGTGACAGCCCAACAAAGCTCTGCTGCGGGCGCCCCCTGCTGCGGAGAGCACAGCACAGCCTGGGGAATCCGGGGAGACAAACTTGAACGAAGGGGCTAGACATTTTCCGATAAAATTCCAGGCCCCTCTCCGGAGTCGAGGCCCAGCCTCCTGCTTGATCAGCTGAGACGGCAGAGGCAGAGGCCAAAGCTCCTCGAGCTCCCGGGGTCACTGTCAGGTGAGTACCGCGTGGTTCCCGGTGGCCCGGGCTACTCGGCACCAGCACCCAGAGCGGCTGGGGGAGGAGCTGCCACGGCGAGACCCAGACCGCCTCCCAGGCCGCCCCTTCCCCCAGGCCAGGGTCGCTCAAGACCCCACCCCCACTCTCCTAGGCAGCAGATTATGAAGATTTAGTCCCCGGGGTTGGGCATTGGGCACGCGCACCGCCGGAGTGTCCCCATGGCGACCGAGCGGCTCTAGCGCCCCAACCAATCGCTGGGCTCCCGGCCGCCCAGGGGCGGGGCCGAGCTGCCCATCAAGCCGCCGAGCCCCGGGCAGAGGGGGATGGGAAAGGCCGCGGTGAAGTGGCACCCCTCCCCCTCAGCAGCCGCAGGTCCCCTGGGCCAGGCTGCCCCTCCTCCTCCTCCTCCTCCTCCTCCTCCTCCTCCTCCTCCTCCTCCTCCTCCTCCTCCGGGCAGCCACTGCTCCCCGCATCTTCCTGCAGGTCAGTTTCAGGCTCACCGCCCCACAGCTTCCCTGCTGGCCCGGCTTCACCCCAGAGTCCGTCCCCACCCTACGCCCGCCCTGCAACCTCTGGGCCCTCACCACCCATCCGCCTCCCCCTTTTCCTCCATCACTTAAGTGCCAGGTTCTCCTCCCGCAGTATCTCCAGCGACCGAGCTAGATGGCTGTGGAATGAACAAATTACCCAGCAGCATTTACTGAGCACCTACTGCAGGCTGGCCCAGTCCCAGCCCCAGGCTGGGAAACAGAGTCATGATGACAACCCAGGTGCCAGCCCTCCTGGAGGGAGCAAGGCAGGTTACTGAACCACAGGGGAGTCAGCGGCTGCCCTCCCTCCCCTCAGCCCCACCCCGGTCTCCACCCCACCTTTTTCATCACCCCATAACCTTCCTGTTCTCCACAGCCCGCTGAGTAATACACAACAACATAGGCCAGACTCCCGGCCCACTGAGTTCTTAGTCCCAGGACTTCTGTAGCCCTGTCCCCCTCTGCTGGTCACCGCAGGGCCTCACGTCTCCAGGCCTCTGCTTGGGCTCTGCTGTCTGCCTGCCTTGTTGCTTCCAGCTCAGAACATTTGAGTCTGCCTTCAAGGCCTGGCTCAATGCTGCCTCCTCAGGGCAGGCTTCCTCCACTGTCCCTAGGAAGGAAGCAGTCACAGCCCTGAGGAATCTGGTGTCCCTCCCTCCTGGGGATACTTCAGGCCTCCTTAGCCTGGCCTGGGCTGAGTCCTGACAGCTGCCCACCTCCCACCAGGGCAGGACCTGGTGCTGGAGAAGCCTTCTGGAGCTGAGGAGCTGGAAGGCCAGGACAGACACCCACACTGGCTAATCACGTGAGCTCCTGTTTGCTCTAGCAGGAGCCCATTCTTAGCCCACCCTGGAGCTGAGACTTCACGCCCGGCACCATCTCCAATAGGCCGGCTGTTTGACCTTGGAGGGCTTTGTCCTCCTCCAAGAGGAGGGCTTACTAGGAGGGCACCAGGCCTGGCACACAGTGAGCCAATGTCCCAGCGCTCAGCATGGGCATCGGGCCCACAGCCTCCCATAGTGCCCCACCCCTGTACAGGCTCAGACGTGGCCTCCCAACCACCTGCCTCCCTGACCAGCTTACCTCCTGGGAGGAGGGAACTCCCTTGCCCTAAACCTCTCCGGGAGGGGGCGGGGGACAGAGGAGGGAGGCCAACTCCCCAGCCTCTTGCAGCTCAGGAGCCCAGGGTGGTCGGCAGTCTTGGAGCTGCCGACCCCCTCGCCCTGGGACCATGCACCTGTGCTGCTCAGCCGGCCAGCCCCAGGTATGAGCTCTGCTCGGAGCACCCTGCTTCCCTCTGCTCAGATGTTGCCCTCGGCTAGCCAGGGAAGTGGCCGGGCAGGTGGGACCGTGCGCTACCAGGAAACCAGATCACGCATTCCCAGTGTTTAGAAGAAACCGGAAGTCTGCACCATTCTGTAAATATCCAGATTGTAAACGATTAATGACTGACTTACATTGTTTACATTCTGAAAAACCTCACCAAATAAATGGATAAAACAAAGTGGGGTCTTGTCCGTGCACTGAAATGCCACTCAGACGTAAAAAGGAATGAAGTGCTGAGACCTGCTACACCGCGGAGAAACTTGGAAAACATCACGCCGAGTGAAAGAGGTGCAACAGGACGGATACAGACGGTCTGCTTCCACGCAGTGTCTAGGATAGGCACCTTCCCAGAGACAGGAGACATCTGAGGGCTCCCTGGGGCAGGGAGGAGTGGGGACGGGGAGCTGCTACCTTGTGGATGTCAAGTTTGGGGTGATGAAAACCGCATTTTGGAAATAATGGGGCTGCTCGCACAACACTGTCAAGGTACTTAATGCTGCTGAATTGTATACGGAAAAAAAAAAATGGCAATTTTAACATTATACTTATTTACCACAAAAATCCCCCCAAACAAAAAAACCACCCAAGACCTTGAGCAGGCCACGGCTCTCCTGCCTCCACACCACAGCTGGGCCGGGGAAAGCCAGCCACACGCAGCGCTCACCGGAGGGACAGAAGAGTCACAGTGCATGTGCCCCCAGTCACTCTGCTCAGGCCACCTCAGCGTAGCATGCCCACCACGTGTCTACACTGCCTGCCCGGGCGCCGGCTGCTCACGGCGCTGCCAACAACTTGGGTCCACTTTCTGCCAACCAGAGAGGCCGCGGATTTTAGACAGAATGCAGAGGGGATGGGGAGTGGGACGGACAGGGGCTGTGTGAACTTGCAGATGCCACTTTACATTCCTGAGCCTCAATTTCCCTTCCAAAGGGGTGTCATGCCAGTAAAATAGGATTTATAAGGTATAAATACCTGGTATAGAGAGTGGGTGCTAGGAAAAAAAAAGCTAGTTCTCTATACCTCACACTCTCTCACT